CGGAAATAGTTGATAAATTAATTGATGTTTATTAACAGAAACAAAAGATAAACGAAGCATAATTAGCTAAATTGACACGAAATAACAATAAAGGTTTCATGGAATTGTCACAAATACCAGTTTCCCCTAAATAATCGTTACCGAGTCTATACCATCCTTCGTAATGATTTAGGTAGGAAACAGCAAAAGGCAGTGAAAATTTACGGTTCATAATGAGTTATTACTGAAAGGTTATTCTTTTTTCTCTTTAATAAAATTACATAACGGACTTTCGGAAATTACTTTACTGAAACGATGATAATATGAAACTATTAGTTTTTGATCATCGCATATGAATATCCACAAGTCAACACTTAAGGTTTAATTTCAAATCACAAAAACGTTGCCTATTCAACCAGTGCAAAACGTTAAAAAATACTTTTAAAATAGGAAGCAGTGCGCCATAGCGGCCTTGTTCCGCGAGCCAAGCGAGATTGACGCTCTCTGCATACAAAGGCAATGCTGTTTTGAAGTGAGTCAGGTGGTGATGCAAACAAATTATTGTTATCGGCCGTTTCCTTCAGCGGCGGGACTCATTGTTAAATCAAATCAACGCCCACATCTACCTACTACATGTTTTTCTTCGTGTAAAAAAGTAACCAGCACAAGATTGATTGAACAGCTTCTAAAACTTAAGAAATCTATTAGGAAAGAACGATGTAAGTATAAAGGGCGATAGAAAGGCGCACAATGAGCGCACAGACTTTTTCTTTCGACAGTTATTACGTCACGCTTAAAAAATATGATAAACACTAAACAAGTGGTCATGGGGTGGTGAGAGGCCCTTTTTTGTCGTCGTCTAACTAGCTCACATCTTTTATTTAGGACTTGACTTCAATCGCCGAGGTACTTTCCCAACAAATTATCAAAGCTACCCCATCTCATATTCTTTTAGTATTACATAATGAGTACATAGTCTGTTTACATTATTCTTGACTATCCTTGGAACATAATATAAGAATAGATAAGTTCAACATTGTCTGCGGGGATTTCCATCTATCTGTGTATTTGTATCTTAATTTTCCTGGTCAGTTTAAAAAAAAATACATTTCTCTTGAAATCTTGGACAATAGATTCGTCTAAAGATTATTTTGTTGCTTTTAGATTACCAGATACACCTGACTTGTGGTGGTAAAAAGAGGCCCTTATGTAGGTCATACGCGTTAGGTTTTGCACTACAGTTTTAACCTAGAAGGTATAAGGTACAGGTAAACGTGCGCGTGACAAAACTTAGCGAAGTATTTACACGGTTATATTTGTACAATGACGAATGCACTAGTGACGAATGACTAACGTAATTGTTTATCGCGACAAATAATAAGCATAAACAAGTTTTACTGATATGGCCTTTTTCTATTTCTTTGATTTCATACGAAATTATTAGTCATAAAGTCTGCGTTTAGACTGGCATGTAAAATGTTAATAGACCATAATTCTAGTGCAGTTAGGTGTTCTTTAATAAGAATTTGAGTTATGGGTTTCAGCTAACCGGTATACCTTCAATTCTATCCTAGTACTATTGCATGTTTCGACTGCTATGGCAGTTGTATTACTAAATATTGTTATATCTGTTTATTTCAAAGAGAATTTAATAGACCACAGAGTATATAAAAAAGTGACGAGGCAATCTAAATCCACAGTTAACATACAATTCTACTGATAGTCTGTTTCTCTTATGTAAATGATTTCATACGTGTATGCTTGTAATATCGCTTGATGAAATTGTTTACTTGACTCTTTGACATTAGTTTTGTTATCGCATTGTAGAGAATACAAATTGTGTGCAATGTTTACTTGAAAGCTCGATTTGATAACGGTTTATTAAATAAATAACGAATATAAGACACGTCATATGATAGTTATTAATTAAATTACGCCATACTATGTACTCCTATGTCACTCCTGGATTTAGCTATGTTCAAAACCGGTTTAAAAGTTCAGCCTGCCGGTCAGCTTGTACCACTGAGGTGCGATTCAACAACTAACTTGGCAGTTCACAGCGAATCGCAATGTACAAATTGAGCTGAGCTATGAACCGATTCACTGATCTGATTCACAAATGTAAACCGTGAGTTGATCTGCAGTTGAGTTACCCATGACTACTTGGAATAAATAAAAATAGACATCTTAATCCACAAAACCAGTTTAGCCTTGTAGCTTGTAACCTTCTAACTCCTATAGGTTATAATATAACAAAGATAGACGTATATAACTATAAACAAGCAATAATAGTTCATATCTGCGAAATACACTGTCCTATCGGGATAGTAAAAATATGTAGTTGGTAACATTGCTATGATAATATTAAGTCGAAGTATACCTTGACGTTTTCATACAATGGGGAATCCCAAATATGTATTCCAGCCTGACGTATGACTTGACAGCAAACCAAATTCCCTCCATATAAGTGCTCCAACTTAAAGGGAAAGTGAAGTTATTGTTTGTTGACAGCTTTGCCCTTGATCGGTTTGGCAGCTGACAAATAGTTATAATGTTACACTATTATAAAAGAACAAGTAATGAAAAGGCTAAAGTTTTCGCAGACCATCTTGCAAAAGTGTTTGTACCGAATATGCCAGAACTGGGGATGGATGAATCAGACATTGAAGCTGTGATAAATCAAGATTACCAGCTAGACCTACCCATTAAACCCATAACACCTAAAGAAATCTGGAACGAGATACAAAAACTAAAGAACAAAAAGGCCCCAGGGTTTGATCTAATAACTAAAGAAGTTCTAATACAGCTTCCGAAAAAAGCTATAATGTACATGACTGCACTCTTTAATTCTATTCTTAGAGTCAAATACTATCCCAAACTCTGGAAAGTATCGCAGGTGGTGATGATTCACAAAGAAGGTAAACCTGAAAATGATGTTTCTTCCTACAGGCCGATTAGTCTGCTAACGGTAGTTTCAAAAGTTTTTGAAAAACTACTTCTCCGGAGATTGATGCCCATACTACACGAAAAACATGTAATACCAGACCATCAGTTCGGCTTCAGACAAGAACATGGAACCATCGAACAAGTGCATAGAGTGTGCAACATAATAAGAAAGTCACTAGAAGATAAAGAATACTGCTCATGCGCATTTCTAGATATACAGCAGGCATTCGATAGGGTTTGGCACAGGGGCCTACTATGCAAAATAAAACAATTCTTACCACATACTTTTTATGAAATCTTAAAATCATATCTTTCCGATAGAATATTTCAAGTTAGAGAAGATGACAGTACTTCCTCATTCCACGACATCCTAGCAGGTGTTCCGCAAGGCTCGGTCCTGGGACCAGTATTATATACTTTATACACCGCAGATTTCCCTGTAAGCACTAATTTAACAACTGCAACATATGCGGATGACACGGCTGTGTTGGCCAGTCACAAGGACCCAAAGACTGCTACTGCAATGCTCCAGAGTGGATTAAATGAAGTGGACAAATGGTTAAAAAAATGGAGAATAAGAGCCAGTGCCTCGAAATCGGTCCAAGTTACCTTCACGTTGCGCCATGGAAACTGTCCAGCAGTCAAACTAGGAAATCAAGAACTTCCACACAGTGACGTCGTCAAGTATCTAGGTATTAGACTGGACAAAAAACTCACATGGAGAGCACACATTCTAGCGAAAAGAGATCAACTTAATATACAGTACCGAAACCTCCAGTGGCTCCTAGGAAGACGGTCAGTTCTGAGCCTGGACAATAAGCTCCTACTCTACAATACTGTTCTCAAACCAATATGGACATATGGTATACAAGTTTGGGGTACCGCAAGTGCTTCAAATTTAAACATTATTCAAAGGGTGCAAAATCGTATACTTAAGAACATTTCGAATGCCCCTTGGTTCATTAAAAACTCAGAGCTACATGACGTACTAAAAGTGAACACCGTACAGCAGGAACTCAAGGTGATCGTTGAGCGTTACAAAGCAAGAATTGCAAATCACTATAATCCCCTTGTTGCAACCTTACCAAAATGTGGCCACAGAAGGAGACTTAAAAGGGCCACCATAATATGATAAATAACCCATTGACCTAAAAGAAGAAATTTTCTTGATGGAGAAAATATTCTAAAAAAATTACTCTTTCTTCACATCTGCTTAAAGTACTAAATACTGATCGCAGATAAAGCCTAAAAAAAAAAAAAAAAAAAAAAAAAAAAAAAAAAAATTATAAAAGCGAAAGCTTAGATGGCTGGATGTTTGTTAGAAGGTATCTCTGGAAAGGCTTAATAGATCTTGATGAAATTTTATACACGCGGACTGTGTCGCGGGGGACAGCTAGTACTAAAATTCGTACTTACTTTTCATTTCTAATAAAGATTCGAACTTTGTAATCATTTAAGCTAAAATTTCTCACTTTTTCTTATTTTTTGGCATCATAGTATTTGCTACCCGAAATTATGATATATAATTCTGATTATTGGTTCTTATAATCACAGTGGCTTAATTTTCACTGCTATTGTCTTTGAGGGAAATGATTAAAAAATAATACACTATAAATAATTTTAATAATTTATTCAAGAATACGATAGCCAATATTTTCTAATATAAAACTAAGACACTACGGTTTGAAGCAATCGCACATGCATGTACGAATTGATAACTTTACTAGATTTTATGAACTAATTTATAAAAACATATAAAACTTATAATAAATATACTTTGCTTGCTAATTTAAAGTGGCAGGAAACACACGACTAAATTCAACACTACCCACATTTAATTTTACACCAAATAATGCGAAACATTTTGACAATATTTGAATTAATATCCAGACTGACAAAAAAAGTAAGTTTGTATGTATGTGTACCCTAATTGTAGCCCCAATTGTTTCATTTGTGTTAATAAATCACTTGTTGGAAAATCAGTCGGACTTAGCCTTTTCAAGTTAATAAATAAAAAAATGACGTTACAGTATAACCAGATTTCTAGCGCTGTTGCGATAGTAACTCGTCTTTAGTTAATCGTAGCACATATAAAGTAAATGACAGTACATTTCAATCTGGCAAAGTTAAAATATTCGTGCAGCATAAAAAATATAAAAGTGAGTATGAGATATTACAAAGTGGAATACAATTTGGCACCAATTTGGGAGTAGCAGTGATGTGATTAATAGGAAAATAGCGCACATAGCAATCTAATGATTAACAACTACGTTGGGCGGTTGGGCCTGAATGGTAGGGGCTTGACCTTGCGGAGGTTGCCCCTGGTTTTGGACTTGCGAAGCCTGACCCTGGTTTTGAATCTGCGATGGATAATTTTGGCCTTGCACTTGGCTATTTTGAGTCTGCCCACCCTGGCCCTGGTGCGGTGGGGACTGGCCTTGGACAGGGGAGTCAGATCGAAGTCCTTGTTGCTGAGACGGGTGGTTCACATTTTGTGTTGATGGTGCCTGATTCAAGGTTCCTTGTTGATTTTGAGCTGGGTGTTGCTGCTGGCTTTGTGCCTGTCCTTGCTGAACCTGAGGTTGGTTCTGATGCCCTTGGAACTGACCTTGAGGCTGGCCCTGGAATTGACCTTGCGGGTAACCTTGGAATTGGGCTTGTCCTTGTGGTATCTGATTTGGATGATAGCCTGGGGGCGCTTGACCTGGTGCATATTGTGGGGGAAGTTGTCCTTGAGGATGTCCCTGATAATATTGTTGCTGGCCTTGGTATCCTTGTTGCTGAGCTTGTTGGAATTGTTGTTGTTGTTGGAATGCCTGTTGTTGCTGATAAGCTTGATGAATTTGATGTTGGGCGCCTGGTATCGGTCTACCGTGGGCGTCAACCTGGAAATCATATGAATTATAATTGACATTTTAAATTACAATCAAGTAATATTACTTCTCAACGAATACATCTATCTACTCACCAAACCACGTTGTTGAAGGTATCTCAGTTCTTCGAGTCTTCTCCTTTCAAATTCTTCGTACTCCGATTGCGTGTAAATTTGATTTTCATCAATCGTTTTCCAGCCTTTAACAATCAGAATAATAACAAAGATCTCATTATGTAAATTATGTAATTATATAATCGGTAATGTAATATTGGGAAATGAGTGAAGTGGTTTTCTATGGTAAACATAACTATATTTTGATAATTGAGTTTGAGTTTTAGTACGTTTTCATTTAGTACAAGGAATAAGTAAACTTAGTTAAGTCACCTTCATCCTGATTAAAGTCTGCCCTCTGAGTCTCAGTCATGAACTCATGGAAGTCGATTAGTCCGTCTCGATTGCGGTCGTTTTCTTTGAACACGTGTTCGCGCATGCGCTCCATTTCTTCAGCTCTCTCGTGCAGATCCTTGTTGGGACCGCCCGGTCCGTAAGCTTTGTCCAACTCCTTGATAAACAGTGCTTTCACTTCGTCAGCATCCCAAACGCCGTTCCCGTCGACGTCTGTATTCACATTGACAATCTTACCAATATTATGAATGCGAATGTTTCGATAGGTATATGGATGGATGGATGTTTGTTAGAAGGTATGCACAGAACAGCTCAACGGATCTCAATAAAATTTAGCATAGATTTAGAACATAGTCTGGATGAACACATAGACTCTTACGTTTTTACTTTTAACTCCACGCGTACGGTGCGTGGGCAAGTTACTATTTAGGTAGTTTAAAAGAAGAAAAAGCGAGGGAGGTGCGTCATTACCCCGCTAAATGTAGTTCTCTGCCCACCCCACAGAACACAAATATAAATGGTTTGAAATGTGTATATAAATAATACCATTTACATTAATCTTTTTTTTTGCATTACACACGCTTTAGACAATAATTTTCATACAATTTTCTGTAATCGACAAATATTACTTACATAGAATAATATATTTCATCGCATACTAAAGTTTTTAACAGTTTTATAGTAACACAGAACATGATAACATAGCAAGAACATCATGACTTAAAGCAGTACAATGCTTATTGAAATTCTAATAAAGGACATAACAAAATGAGGTTGAGTTTTATACAACTGTATATCATTTGGCTAATGATGATAGTGAATAAGCCAAATAAGTAATGAATGAGATAATGTGAAACTATTTTATAATTAAGACCATAGACATAATGACACAATACAACAACAACTAGTGTGATGATTTAAACGCTCAAGAAAAAGATGAGTAAGATGCAACGAGCGCTTAAGAATTTCCTTTAAACGACACGTGGAAATGGAATACTCTCTATAAAAGAAAGATCGCGACTAGCTATATAATCCTTTGCGCGTTGATACCTACTCGTCATCGGAAGCCGCGTAAAATAATTTCATACCAGAACAATATAGTCCATGCATTAGCGTAATATAAAACATGTGGATAAGCAACAAGTGACGGGTGAATTTTTTTTAATGATATATAACAAAAAATATTTATTAAATGCAATGAAACAATTGGTAGGATAACAACAAATGACGTACTTTCTGTCAACTGTTTATATATATATGTATGGTCATTTTGACCATACATATACAATCAAATTTCTATATACATTTGATATGTCTGTATAAGACTAATAGAGTGGAATCAAACCTGTATTCAACAACGTGCAAAATGTTTACATAGAACGGTTCACAAAAGCAACAGCTTATTTACTTTTCTAACAAATTGTAAAACAAAAAAAAATAGGAAAAAAACGACGATCTACATATATGAAGCTATTGTCTATGGACCTTACCATGCATCATGAAAAACGCTTTTGGGTTGAAATCTTTTTTATCCATATGGTCGGCGTTATTCCATAGTTCTAACAATTGTTCTCTGGTCACAGGATGATGTAACTGTCACAGATAATAAATATAAAGTGTTAATAATTGTATTGATAATCACTCACCGTGCATCATGAAGAACGCTTTGGGATCAAATGCTTGGTCCATATGGTCCTGCTTTTCCCACACTTCCTCCAACTGTTGTTTGGAGCCGGGGTGATGGAGCTGCGTTTATACAATATCTAAATTTTCTATCTACATTTACATCACATAACATAAACAATAGGTGAGATGCGAGGTACATAATAAGCGAATATAGCGAGATAGGTAACAACAAAGGCATGTCTATAACATCGATGAGTCTTCATTGTCGCAGCACATGTTTTACAACATTATTACCAATCCACTTAGCTTTTAAAAAGAATAGACAGAACAAAACAGTTCATACTCATGAAAAAAAATCTCTTATTATATTATTGATTGGCTTGTTAATATAAATTTATTTTTAATATTTATTCTTCCATACTATCAATAAACACCTACCAGATGTTACACTGAAGCAAAACTACCATCAACAAAATCATTCAAATTCCTTTACCAATATCTGTTTATAAAAAAATCAATTAACCCTTATCTTTCCGCTCATGACAAACATGCGTCATAATTTTCTCCTCGACTTAATAAGTTCAATTGATAAAGGTAATTGCACATTGAAATTGAACAAAATGATTTCAAAATAACTTCAAGAATTTCCATTGTATCACAGAAACCACATTTTTTTTAAAACATTTTGTGAATAGGAAAACACAAAGACTTTAAACTATAGTGGTGCGGGACAAACAGACTATAAATCTTTTATTTACTTTTAGATTACTCACTGGTTGGTGATGTTTCCTTGCATCTTCCTCTTGCTTAATTTTCTCCATATATTCCTTCTTATTAGTCTCATCCATTGCTTCTAGCTTTTGATGTTTCTCAAACTCTTTTTCCATCTCATATTTCTGCAAAATTTAAAACAAATCATAACTAATAGTTACTAGTCAAGTGTACCCTTAGTGACAGAAACCTTCACTAAAGGATTGCTAATATAACCATTTTACCACACTGCATTTGGCTCGGTCTCGACTCATAGCAGTTGCGACACTCACCAATTAATCTATAAACAAATCAAGGAACAATAGAATCGTCATTTTAATTAAATCAACATCCAATACTATATAGCATATAAAATCAGTACTTTTCATATTCGGAGTAGAAATGTTTGTTGGAAAAACTTTGCAACACTGTTTCTTGAAGTTTAGTTGCTTTTGAAAGGACCTAAATATGTGTCGAAGCATATAGCTGTATGTGTTGTTTAAGATTATTTAGTTTTAAACATTTTTCCAATTGTTTATTGCTACAGTATCTTATCTATGCAGTGGTTGACAGTGATTAAATAAATCTATTACAATACAAATATAATCAATTTTATCAATATAATCCTTTAGTCATAGTCAAATGGACATTCTTTATGTATATACATATATATAATTATATACCACTTGAAGTGGAAACTTTGTTTCTTTATAAGTAAATATATTAAACAAATGAATGTGAACACACTGAGATAATATGGAGAAGTGTGTAATATTTGTATAAATAAATTACTTGATTATGAAATAAAAATGCGACCACTAGTATGAAAAAATGAACTGACCTTGAACTTTTCCTTTCTCTGCTTGTCGGCCTCTTCTAAATCAGATGTCGTTTTCTTGATCAATTTCTTAAGGTCTTCAATTTCAAATGTATGTGGATTAGCATGATCTAAATGTTCATTTGATGGTATTTTTCCAGTATTTATTTCAAGTTCATTAGTTAACTCAAATTGCTGAAAAATATTTCATAATCATTGCAACATATGTGTAGCTAGCTGTCACCCGCGACTACGTTCGCGTGGAATAAAAAAAAAGCTTAAGATGAAGCTTATGTGTTCTGGAGCTACTTTCATACAAACATCCATCCATCCATCTAACCATTCACATTTATATTATAATATTAGTAAGAAGTAAGATTAAAGTGACTTTTACATTCAAATTACTTGTTTTATACACCATAAATAAAAGAGAAAATTTATCATAGATAAAAAAAATCGTCACTTTTAACATAAGAATTATATTTGTAACTCCTTTAATATGATTATTAATAAAAGGACACCATGAAGAGTTATTGAAATAACCTAGTTTAATACTTCAAGGTCCCATCCTAATGACTAGCCTAAAGCTGATCACAACATTAAAAACATATGCCATCATATTATACTTACTTTTGTAGCTAGGTGACGAAGTCTATCCAGTTCACGTCGTTTAATTTCATCCAATTTAGTTCTTACATTGTGATTTACAAAGTCCAATTGTTCAGCTATTTTTCCAGACTAAAGATTATAAAATATATATAAATACTAGAATAAACAGCAAGCAAGAACATATTGTATTCATTAAGGCAAATATTAATTTAAGAAATAACAAGGTCACTTACTCTTACATCTTCTTCATCTGCTTTTTCCAACCGCTCCCTGAAATCTGGATCACTTTCCAGAGCTTGAACTACTTCTTTTAAATATCTGTGGTATTCCATATACTCTTCCTAGGAAAAAGAAACAAATACAAATACTACATTAATATGTTCTCTACAAAATTAACTCACCAAGCCTGTTGGCTGTACCAAACATTTTCAGATTTTTTGTATTATTATACTATAGTATAAAAACATATATATTTGAAACAATCCAGGTATATAATACTAGTACCTATCTTAAGTAGTTATTAATATGAAAAGCCCAACAAGGTCACAACTGCAATTCAAATTCGCATTTATTACAAACATGGGCTTTTGCAGATGAAACATCTATTTAAGAGATTGTGTTTTCCCTCTTAATTACACTGCAATAACACAGGTAACTATATGTTTTTGCACACATGTTTTTGGCAGTGGAAGTCCACTGTAATATGACCACAGTTGTTAAAGAGAACTTGTTTAAAAAAACACAAAAAGGACATTGCTTGATAACCTTCATATTTAATACTGGTTTATAAACGAACAAAAATAATAAAAAAAATTGTAAAGAAGTACGAAGAAAAGTTCAGCGTACATGAAGAACTGTGATATTTAAGAAATATACCAGTATAAATTGACTTGTATTTCACTCTCAATATAAGTGTGCGACTAAGCAGCTCTAAAGAAAACAAGTACATGTATACCTATTACACTTTTAAAGTGAGCACTTTATTAAGTAAATACATGCACAAGGAAAATGACCAAATAAGACAGATGAATTGTACTCTCTCTCCACTACTCGCTAGAACTAAATTTGTATTGTGCGCAGCAATTTGCAGAAACTGTAAAGCTACCAAGATATCTGAAAAACTTATATTTAGGTAGCAGTCAAAAACTTATATAATATCTAGCTTAGTAGTTCAGAGAAAGTAGACAAATGGATGATGATCCATAGCATCAAATCATTTATTGCACATGTGTGTAAAACCGGCAATAACGCAGCAAAACAATTACAGGGAAATGGTTGTAGCATGTTAAGCGGGTCATTCATACATCATGGTAATAATAGAGAGTAAAAAGTTCCTAAGGGGTGATGCAACATGTATATATTAATCTGCTACTGTCCATCTTCTGTGTGCAGAGTTTAAATAGCCGTCATCCAGTTCATTTGGAAACTTTGATGGATTAATTTTAAGAAGTCCCCTATTGGAAGTATTACATATAATATATACATGATATGCAATGTGCATAATAAGTATGGATGGGGTAACAACACTTACCAGATCATCCTTTATTTCACTGTCCTGCTCCTTAGATTTATCCTGGGAAACCGGAGGTGCATATGACCAGTGAAATATCACAAGTAGACAAATGATACTTTCTTTGATCTTCATTGTAGTCTGACAAAAATCGAGAAGTACAATATAAGGATAGACTAATCCAATGTACAATTGTTTATAGAATTAACGACAATCTTTCTACAAATAGTAGTATGCTAATTGAAACGCATAACACTTATAATCAAATAAAAATTTAATGATGGTATAGAATTTGGAAAAACACGACCTATCTACTATAAACTATCTGAAGAGTGTAAAATATATATTCGAGACCAAATTACAACTATACTAATTATACATACTAATTACTTAAAAATGTAACTTTTTAATTATTTTATTTTATGTGCTACAAACTTCATACCATTAATCTATATAAATTATTTACATGTTTATCTGTACTCACTGTTTTTATAATCACTTATCATTTATTTCAATATACGATTTCTATAGTGAGACGCTAATTTTATATAATGTATCGTCAATCGTCATATGAACTCGTTTGATATTTTTGATGCACCTTTTTTAATTTCTTGGTATTTTGGTATTGACGTGTCCAAATCACATCATAGGATTAAGAACTGATCAACCAATCACAGCTAGGAGAGGCGAGAGACCGTCCAAGATCGTTTGTGGTCTATGCAAAGAGCATTTACCTATGCTATTTAAACAAGACTTAGCTTTCACATTATGTAAGCGCTATGTTTCAAAACGAAAAAAATGATTATAATTCAATCACATTTGTACGTCGTCTTCTTAGGATAATAAATAAATAATCAATTATTGTCTATTTTTTTTAATAAAAAAAAAGAATCGAGTAGTTCTTAACTACTGGCAACATCTTCTTATCTTATCGATTACTGTTTGTGCACTTTGCAGTCGAACGAGAATATTGATTTTAAGTGAAAAGTGAATATGGAATGGAATATTTAACAAAGAGTTTTATATTTAGTTGGTGTTTAAAAAAGCTTCAGTTATATTTGTGGTACTATATATAAGTAATTTTTTTAAATAAAACATAAGTAAATTATTCACAATGAGTAAAGAAAAAAGAGACCCCGAGTATCCCTCAGAACTAGAGTCCCAATTTGTGTTAAGGCTTCCCGAAGAACCAGCCAAGTTACTTCGTGATGTGCTTAAAACAGGAGAGAACCTTAAAAATCGTTTGACAATACAAATCGATAACGATATGAGACATGGCGAAGTCCGGTTCGACCACTGGTTAATGCATGCTAAAATTATGGATTTGCCGACCATTGTAGAATCCCTGAAAACTATTGATAACAAAAGTTTCTATAAGACCGCAGATATATGCCAAATGATGATTTGTAAAGATGAACCAGATACACCCACAGTGGAAGAAGAGTCACCATCAAAAAATAAAAAGAAAGATCCATATAAAGTTGACAAAAAGTTCTTGTGGCCGCACGGTATAACACCCCCTACAAAAAATGTTAGAAAGAGGCGATTTAGAAAAACATTGAAGAAAAAGTATGTGGAAGCACCAGAAATAGAAAAAGAAATAAAAAGACTTCTACGAGCAGACAATGAAGCCGTAAGTGTGAATTGGGAAGTCATCAAGGATGAAGACGAACATCCGAAGCCTGAAGCTAGCACATCTGCTCATACTAAGCCAGAACGCAAAACAAAGTCTGAAAGACATAAGAAAGAGACAGTTACTTCAGAGACTGTAAATCAAAGATCTTCAAATGTTGACGACATTTTTGGTGGAGCCGTCAGTGATAGTGATGATGAAAATGCTAATGTTGATATGGATGATCGCTTATCACCATATGATAGCCGACTGAGCGACAATAACTCAATGTATGGAATTGGAGATACACACTCAAGAAGAGAATATGAAATTGAGTTTGAGTCACAAATGTTTGCAGGGCCAAGTTCAAAGAAATCTGCTGGTCGTAACAGTACTATAACATCTGCATCCCAAATATCAAAAAGTGGTACTCTTTCTTCTGAAGAAGAGCTTGAATACAATTCACGTGACATGTCTAAAGACAATATGCAATTTAGAATTGATCAATTAGCAGCTGAATTGGAAGAGTTGAAACAACGTCGACAAAGAACTCAACATGAAATTGCTGGCATGGAAAATTTGACTTTGCGACAAAGATTCCAAGACATTTTACACACTCTGAATCAAGACATCATGTATAAAGAAATGGAGCGTCAAGGCTTGATCACCCTTCAAACTTCAGATGATATTTAAATTATAATACATATAATACATTTATTCTATTACATATTAGCACTCTATTGATATAAATCATGTTATTTATAATGTATTAAAATAATTATTGTCAAATTAATATTTACATCCACTACATTTATTTTATATGTATTAAAAATTAGTGTCAAATTGATCTTTACAATACACTTCCAATGAGTTTATGAGGATTATACATAGAACATATCAAGTACAATCCATGCACAAATTTTGAAGATTAATCTTCTGTATGGATAAGAATGTAATTAGTTTCTCTAAGATCACATAGGAATTTTTTGTCTTAATCTATTATAACACTTTTGCTTACTTTTTTTTATACTTATTTGCATAAGTATTTTGTAATTAGAATAAGTGAATCTCTTAGTCAAATATAAATGTATTTTATAATCCGATTCAGGTATATAATAGTAGCAGTAGATGCATAGTGTAGAAAATCTAAATATTACAATGTTAATGATGGATATGTAGTTTTTATTATTATTTTTTATCATTTTGTTATTTTTATTATGCATTAAATGTTAGAATATATGCTTAGTTTTATTTTAACCAACTACAACACCTACTCTAATATATTAATATCTTTTCTTCAGTGTTAGTGTAACACACTGATTTTCATAAACATCAAAATAGATAAATTGCAGCTTATTCTTTAAGGTCGTGGGATGTTGCAGATATAGACTTTTACTATTCATTTGGTAATTGTAAACCATTAAATGATGTTAGAATTTAGTGCCAACACAGCAGACATCCTAAACAATGATCATACCATCAGTTATTTTCCATTTTCGTGAAAAGTGAAAGTTAGTTGTGTGTGTAGAATGTGCGGCTGCATTGATTTTTTTTACCCAAAAGACTGCAAAAGACCCTTAATCGGGTAAAATTATGCAGTGTTGTCATATTAAAACAAAATCGCGCTACATCTCGTTTCCTAGTTTATTTTTATGTTAAAACGGCATAAAATAACGGTAGGTTGGAAAATAATATTTTGCTGTGAGGCCAATGTGCGATTTAAAATACTGTTGAAAGATCTAAAATGAATATTTTTCTCGCTTACAGAGGTTTAAATATGGAGAACTGATCGCCAACCTTCGTTAGTCGGAGAGGCACCTTAAGAATAAGAAGAAGACAGAGGTTTTTCGATTAAGGAGGTTGACCGTTAGGATTGGATAATGACTTTTGCTTATAGAGGTTTCTTGTTTATCCAGGTTCGAATATATTGTAATTTATGCATTTAAAGGGTTTTTCTTAACCTGATAAGTTTATAAGTTAAAAATGCAGTATATATAACTAAATTCTACTTCAACTTAATAAGACAATGTTTTAATGAAATACTATGAGGAGTTGTTGATGTTATGGGAGAATAGATGAATTTGGCATAAAGAATAAAGATTGACTATCGGGATTTCAAATTTTTTAAATGGCAATACTGATTTGGAATATACGATTGAATTATGGCGCCCCATCTTCAATAATAATTTACCCAAATACCCAATTAAAAGATTTAACTGCGACCTTCTAGAATCTCAATACAACTGTCAATTAAACGTATTAGAAGTGGTGTAAAAACTAGTAATCGGAGTTAATACAGCACTTTACGTTAGAATCGCAAAAACTCTGTATAAAATTGACTTGGAAGGGCGTTGTATCTGCATCGAAAATGGACTTCAAAATGCATGAATACACACACGCTGTGGTTGGTAAAGTGACTCCGGCTTTGAGGATAACAGACAGAGCTGATCTTAACGATGCGCGACGGCAACATGACTGCTTCTTACGACTTCTTAGAGAACTCAATTTGGAAGTGGTGGAAATTGATTTTGGTTATCCATTCCCAGAAAATGCTCTGTTAGAACATATTTCTATCGTTTGCCATGGTATTGCCCTTCTTATGAAACCAACATCTAACATGGAAGATGATATGGTATGTTTTTTTGGTGTGATTTTGCTTAACAACATAGTCTTCAGTCTTTGAAATGGAGTTCTTGTTTATTAATTTAAGTTTGTAACATATGTGTTAGACCCTACTTAAGGGGCTCAAGCCTTTGCTATCTTAGTGATCAAGTCTAAATCAACCTAATGATTTAGGGAAAGGATTTTCAACATTGTTGTTGATGGTTCAAATTCTACTATTCCTCTATTGTCATAAACCATTTCTTCAAGTTTAATTGGAATGGTATAAGAAATATCAGTAAATTAACAAATTTGTACCAAATACAAATAAATAATGTGTGCAAATCAAGTCACAATGTTTTCTTTAAATGTAAAAATGTAAGATAAATGAGTGTAAAATTTAAAAACCTCATCGGTACATGTTAATAATTGAACCAAGACTTGTAGCTGTGATACCAATAGTTAATTTATTATTTGAACCAGAAACATGAATATTGGTATCTGTAATATTAGAAAAGACAAAGCAGAGAATGATGGTGATTTAACTGAAATAATTTTTCTTGCACCTCGGATAGTTTCAAGCTAGGGATTTCAAAGGTTTAGTATAGTGTCTGTATTTAAAGATGGGCTGACTAAGCATTCAGTCATTATGACAAAATGTTATCTTGTTTTACAGCTTAAAATACTCAAAGAAGTCATGCAAAAAGATCTTGGTCAAACAGTGATTGAATTGTCGGATCCTTACGCCAAAGTCAATGGTTCTGATGTATTATTCACAGGTAAATGTTTATATAAATTATAGCGGTCAGCCCGCAACTCTGTCTGCATTGAGTTAGAAAAAAATAAAAGTAGCCTACATGTTCTTTCAGACCATATTCTATATGTATGCCAAAAGTCATCGAGATCCGTTCAGCCATTTTAGAGATACCTTCAAACAAACATCTATCAATTCATCTAAAGTTTTGCATTTATAATATTAGTAAGATTTATAAATCCAGATTTTTTTTTATATTTGGGAATACAGTTATTGCAATTGTTTTCAATTTAATTATGAATGTTCTAACTAGTGATGTCTTAGAAGGAGTCATCTTATTGTCACAAATCATTTTAAATTTGAATCTTAGATACACATAATAATGATATGCTGTGATGGCAGTATCATATAAAAAAGACCAAAGCCTTAGCCAACAAGCTTGCACCATTCTAGTACTTTAAAGAGTAGAGTGAATAGGCATTTATTAGACTAATGCATACCATCTACCGATGACACCATCACTTAACATCATGTGAGATTATGGTCAAGTGCAAGCTTATTCATCATTAAAACAATGTATAATAGATAAAAGTCTAGATAAAATTAGAGAAAAGTAGAAAAAAAATATTTTAGATAAAAGTCATAGTTTTTCGTAAATAAAGTTGAATCATGTTTTCTCATAGGTCGCGAATTTTTTGTGGGCATTTCGGATACAAGCAATGAAGCAGGAGCGAGCGCTGTTGCAGAAGCATTTCCGGAATTTCCTTGCACTCCTATTAAGGTTTGTTATATTTATTTATACAGGTGGTTTATTTTTTCTCATTAAAGTATTAGTTTGGGAAACAGGGATTAAGATAAGGTTACAAGTTCACGTAACAAGTATTAGTAATGCCACAACTAACCTGAGAGATATATACTTTTTGGTACTCTGTGGTACTTTGTTGTGCTCTTTGGTTTGTTTACACAACCTAACTACTGACACAGATTGCATTTTACATTGTTTTCTGTGGCATTTCAGTATTTTATTAATCCAGCCAGCTGTTTACAACACATGGTATTATAATGACAAGAAAATTAACAACTTTGACATTCATAAATATTCCTTGAGAACTTATAAAAACCTGGGTAATAACTAGTAAAGAACACATTTACTATTTACAGATGTCAAAAGGTGCACGACATTTGAAGAGTTATATTACTATGGCGGGACCCGAGATACTTTGCGTAGGTGCTAGCAAAGAGGCACAAGAATTATTGAAAAGAATGGAAAGGGAAGCAACTTTTTCTTACCAAACTCTAACGGTCCCAGAGGATGAGGCTGCAAATTGTCTCTACATCAACGGGACGCTTATTCACAGAGCCATTGAAGAAATACCTGATTCTTTCAAGGTAAGAATTAAAAGATATGAAACTCTTTAAACTACATACAAACTATAATTGCACTTACTTAACCAAATTGATGTTGTAGTGTTTACTTTCTAAAGTCTGAAAGTGGTCCAATATGGAGGTTTATATAAAAGATTTTGTGGGATCCCGAGAACTTGAAGTTCCTACATTCTCTTTATTTCAGCCATCTACAAATCCTAACATGTAAATACATTGTCCATGTAAGAGACAAACTAAGATAAATCATCATCATCATCATCATGAGCTCACTATACGTCCCCACCGAGGGGCTCGGAGTCTACCCTAAGTTCAGGGTGATTAGGCCATAGTCAACCACGATGGCAGAGTGCGGGTTGGTTGACTTCACACATATCTTTGAATTTCTTCTCAGATATGTGCAGGTTGCATCACAATGTTTTCCTTCATCGTAAGAACGTCGGATAAATGTACATATGTAAATCGGAAATTTAAAAACTCATTGGTACATGGCGGGATTCGAACCCAGGACCTGCAGATTGCTAGTCAAGTGCTAAGATAAATAGTGATACTAAATTCAGTAACAATACTTATTTGGTGATTAATAACACATTTATATTAATTTCAGACCTTCTGTGAGAAGATTGATTTTGCCAGACGATCCATCTGTTTCTCGGAACTGGCTAAGATATCAACTGGTCTCAGCGCATGTGTTCTTCTTGTTAGGAAGACATAAATCTTTGGTATGTGATTTCATCACAGAATTTTGTTATTCAGATACTGTGTGTGCCTGAGGATTTTCTGAACATTATTGCCGTGGCTAAATTATTGTTGTAATAAAATGTTTATATAACGCTTTATGGGCGCTTTTTGCCTGATTATATAAAAGTGGCAGCATCAGTTATATTAAAGTAACAAATGATTAAATTAATAAATATAATATTTGGCATTCTATTATTAATATTTAATGTTAAAATTTCATGCAAATGTTATTAATTTCAATTTATATGCATTTAAAATATTATTCAACTTTTGCTATATCTTTATGATGTTGCAAAATTTGGTTTATATCAAAACAATAATCTTGAGAAATTTCTAGACATCAAATTTGCCTTTAACCCTTAATTTCGCAAAGTATGAAACGCAGTAAAAAGCTTTTTTTGTTGTTGTAATTGTAATTGATACACATAAAACTATTATAAAAAAATAATTAAAAAATTTGAAAAGCTTAGTTTTCCTGAAAGCTTATGTATGCCACAACATATATTGTCAAATTAAGGGTTAAAATTTCATGTTGACAGTGAACTTTATATTTATACTTCCCGATTTAACTTCCATTTACCCAGAAATAGTCTGAATAAATAACAAGTAGCAACTTTAAATATCACCCTTAAATTAGTGTAGGCTCCGAGCCCCTCGGTGGGGATGTATAGTGAGCTGATGATGATGATGAACTTCAAATAGAGCTCTCATTAAATATAATTAGATAATCAGTAATTGACAATAAAATAATAATGACTTGATTTTCCATATACATTTTAGAAGCAAAAAATATATTTAACAATAGACCTATAGTATTTCCTATTATAAATTAGTTATGACAATCTTGGAAAATATATTTAGTATTAGTAACTTTCATATCTTTGCAGTATTTTAATGTAATCGTCAGAAAATAACTATATTTACCTCATACTTAGTTAGTACACAAATTATCCATTCCCTAAGTTATAAGACTGACTTCCATAGAATAAAAATTAGTCCTTCTCAACATAGTCTATGGATTTTACTATACATTTCAAATATTTATTACATTCCATGTGTGTTAGCTACGTACATTCCTCTTAAATATTTCAGTATTATAAGCATTTCTTTAAGTTTTAATTTATTTATTTTTATATTTATAAGAATTTGTGTATTTTCATTTCAATTAAACCCTCATTCGAACTAGCGTTTTTTTCACGCGCGTTAAAAAAGCTTGCAAATAGACCAATAATTTCAATATATCTGTTTATACTACAGCGCTTTTGTAACAGTACTTTTTATCGCGCATTGTTGTATTTTGATTCCTATTAAACGGAATAAAAGTAATTTTAAAGCATTTGTCGCTACAGAGTCGCTTTTCGAGTTTTAACGCTGGGTTAAAAAAAGCGCTCGTACGAATGAGGACTTATTGTGAAAGGTGAAATACTAATAAAAGTGAATCTCAAAAATATTAGCTTTTTTTGCAAATGTTTTCGTAATAAGAAGCCACTGACAAAGTTTATCTCTAATGCTTTGAGCATTAAATAATTTAATTCAGTACTTTTGCTGTGTGTGAGCTATTGAATTTTTATTCACTACTTGAATATTTTAAATTATATAACCCTGTTAGTAAATAGACTATAAGTATTGATTGTATGTAAAATTATTAACATATTTTATTGTAATTTCACGTATAGTTTAAAACGTATTAATATTTTGATGTTTGTCATTTTAAAAAATCTTTGATAGTTTCTCTCGATTGAAAGTTGTTAATCTTTGGTAATTATAAAAAAAAACTTCTGTTTTGAAATATATATTGAATTTTTTTTAATTCGATATAGATGTTAGATGGAGATTATTTATTAGACATTTTTTCACTTTATGTTCATGTAATGGATGTACTGATTTAGCGTAAAATTATTTATTTATTGTTGTTTGTATATATGTTATAGCTGTTTATATTAGCTTTGAATTAAATTGTAGGCAAAAGTAGTACATTTATGTTTTAACGACCGAAATTACAATTCAAAAATTAGTAATTTTTACGAAACAGATTTCAACAACTCAATCTCCTTATAGACAGATCATGTTTATCGATTGATATTGCCATCTTTGAATCGATTGAATTTGAATAAAAAGTTAATTAAGAAAAGCGCAGTTGGCCAAAATGATTAAATATCCCTCCTCCGTCGATTATAGGTAACGCATATGCAATTGCGTATGTCTATTGGCAACGGTCACTGGGCCGTTCGCTCGTTTGCACTATATAATATTAAAAAAGTTGATTTCGGTCGTAAATATACAAAGCAAATTTAAATTACTTCATATTTATTAATCTATTTGTATTCAGTAACAGTATATTTGTTGCTATGTTTGCTTATAACATATATTTTTGTCGTACATTGCCGCACAAATTATGTTTAATTGAAAAACAGTGAGTTTTAAATCAAGCATAAAATATAATTCATAATATAAATTATTATTTATATTATTTTGTTAGTATTCTTTTAGATAGTTTGAATAAGTTTACGCATCATATTTTTAAATTGTAATATTGTTTTTTTTTTAAATTCAAATGACATTCTTCGTCTTTCGTGGTAGCAATAAATAACATATTAGTTGAAATATTATTGTCTAGAATATTATTAATGTTTTACTCTGCTTTATCTTTGGAAAATGACATTTGTATTAGATTGTGTGATGTGTATTTATCAGTTTGAACCAGAATGAACAGGATCTGTGGATTTCATAAAATTTAATTATTATGCTATTATATTCAGACATAGATTAGTGAAAATAATAAATTGTAAACAAGTAAATTGAAAGTTGCTAGATATTTTTGCTCTCTATTCTTAATATATATCATTCGCTCTGTTTAGTAATTTCATTTTAGCTTTCGAATAAATATTTTCAGAATATCAAATTATTCATTGTATTAATGTGTATTTTGTTCATGCTTAGCCAACACATATTTATCTGTATTCTTTCTATTTGAACTAATAAATAAAATTAAATAGAGTATTATGTAGTTTCATTGTTAACTTGCAAAAAGTATGGAATGACTGTGTGAAAGAGGATATGCGTAAAAAGGGGGTAGACTCTGATATGACGGTTGATAGAGATGTATGGAGGAGTAGTACATGCTGTGCCGACCCTCGATAGGGATAAGGGCAGGTTTATGATTGGTTACTTGTCCCGTCAACGTTGTCCAGCAAAAACATAAAGATAAAAAAAAATCTTTTTTAAGAAAAATCGGTAATGCAAATAAATAATGTGTACTAACAATTATATTTTTGATTGAATCTTAACGGTGGCAATAACAAATATCTAGGAAAAGAAACACAAAAAATTGGAACATCAAGAGCGGAGCTACGCGGTGTAACACATAAAAAAATACAGACGAATTGATAACCTTTTTGTAACCTTGTGCCAAATTGAAATATTGTATCCAGTTAAAAGCAATTAAAAATACAGAGTTAGTAATCCTAATCCTTTCAAATGCAGCTTTTTAATACCCAAAAATTATATTAAGCCTTTTTCAAACATTTATAATTTTATCTCTAAAAAAGCCCTGATCGAGATTTTTACCGGGCTCTCTTTTACCATGGACCTGGGTAAAAGGCTATAGGCTAATATCTGTCCATTGGTAGACATAGGCCTTCCCTAATGCCTTCGACGGTATAGGTTCCACAAGTACTGAATGCTTTGTTTGATGATCAGAACCTTAACGAGAGTTGAACTTATAGTTATCAGTAATTAATCATTGCACAATAGAAAAATAACTAAAAACTGGTATAAGTCACCTAATTTTAGACGTGGTAAAACAGAAGAGATTTATTCAGTGGTTATACGAGTATATATATGAAGGGCGTACATTTCCTTCATCAATTAAAAATAAGAAGAAATTAGAAGTATTACAATTTTTGTTCATATTGGACAATATTTAAAGTTAATGTGCATTATTAATAATACTCCTTATATAGAAAGCAGTAACCAGTGAGAGAGCTATGCTGGATATTTGTTTAAGCATCAGATTCCACGGGATACTGACTTTGAGAAATTACGAGCTAAGTTTTAGTGGACGAGTGGAATTTGTTGTACAGTCAGCGTCATATAGATCGTCACAGACAAGATATGCAAATATATAGGTACACCAAAAGTAATCAATTATATCGGTACAACAAAAGTCCTCAAAATAATAGATACATTCACCCTGCTCAAATACATCGGTACATACACAGCGTCAAATATATGAGTACATGCAAGATGCTCATAAATATCGTAGCAGCCACAGCGTCATAAGTAACGAAGCAGTCAAGGTGCGCAAAAATATCGGTACATTTGACAAAATTGAACTCTATCTCTATATACTTGTGATACAATTTGGAATAAACTACTTCTGTTACAGTCATTTGACACTTTGTATTAACATTATAGGTTGTCCGGAAAGTTCATTCTGATTTTCGATATAAAGCTTACAATAGACTGTAGCTGAAGTGGATTCATTTTCGGATTTCCACCATTATCAAACGTCACAAAAATTTCTATATTGTGAATAATTTCATTTCATTGGTTGAGATAAAAACTAATTTTTAAAATTTTATCCAATAATAAAAGACGTTTTAGGTATAGAGTCGTACCAATATAATTTAAAAACATTTCCAAAAATTTAAGAGAACAGGGTTTCAATTTTTCTTATAAAGCGGCACGAACTTACTGGGCAACCCAATATTTTTCTTCTCCTGTCATAACGCTTAAATATAAAAGTTTGTCACGCCGAATATGACAGATACGTATTAACTAATATCGAATTTTGCCTTGTCACAATATATACTAGTTTGGCGCAGTATTCTAGTATGTTTGCCGTAATATGTAAGTTTACCGGTTCGAATCTCAGGCTATTTTTTTTTTCATTTTATCAATCACGGGGTTATTTTTTCATAACCAGTAAAAATTTGGTAATGTAAAATTTTGCTCGACAATTTTTTTTTATAATTTTCGCTCTCGGGTAGAAAGAAATTTAAATAAAGTTAACAACAATTAGGTCAGATTATCGCGGGTGAAGTGAGTGGGCGGAGCGTGGATTGTCTTTGCGGGTTTTAAGAATGGTACGCGCGGAAACTATACGTACAAGTGTTATCTACATATGTGTGCGCGCCCACGCACACTGGAATGTTTATTGCAATCGACCAAAAATTTGATGTAGTTTGGATATTGACATTCAGTTTTTTTTCTTTGTTTCTTATATATAATCAGTATCAGTAAAAGGTAAAAGTAAAAGTGTTATTTTTACCGGTACAAGTTTAACAAACATGACTAATAAACAAATTACATGCCAATAGCATCGCTTTATCTCCTTCATTTTTGTTTGAAATAGAAAAGTACTTTAACGGTCAAACTCATTAGTCCAAGGCAATATTAAAAAGTACCTAATAACTACGATATTAAAATTAAAAAGTTAAAATATCAAAAAAAAATAGTGGCTTGGGATTTGAACCGCCGACCTTACGTACCAACGGCGGCGAACGGTAAGGCCACGAGACCAAACTAGCATATATGATGACAAACTTAAATTTGATGTTGGTTTTATCTACCTAATATCTGTCATCCGCGTCGAACACTTTTAGTAAATTTTGAAAAATGGTTTGATGCAAAGTGTCAAATGAATGTAACAGAAGTAGTTTATTCCAAATTGTATCACAAGTATATAGAGATAGAGTTCAATTTTGTCAAATGTACCGATATTTTTGCGCACCTTGACTGCTTCGTTACTTATGACGCTGTGGCTGCTACGATATTTATGAGCATCTTGCATGTACTCATATATTTGACGCTGTGTATGTACCGATGTATTTGAGCAGGGTGAATGTATCTATTATTTTGAGGACTTTTGTTGTACCGATATAATTGATTACTTTTGATGTACCTATATATTTGCATATCTTGTCTGTGACGATCTATATGACGCTGACTGTACAACAGAGAGCTGCTTGAACATGAGAGTTGTTCTATTAACAGTTAATTATTTACAAAGCAAACAAACTAACTTTATGTACCTATGTACTAGTTAGCTTTGATAAATATTTTGCATTTATTACTTTACTCGCTGTCGTCTTTGTCCGCGCGAAATTAAAAAAAAATATTAGCCTATGTGGTCTTCCAGACTATGTTCTACATCTATGCCAAATTTCAGCGAGATCCATGCAGCCGTTCTAACCATCCATCCATACATTAGCATTTATAATATTATATAAGTAAGATTGGCTTATGCTGGTTTTAAAGAAAATGTATACATTTGCCTAGTAAGTTTTTAAGCGTCTTGTTTCGTTTTGATACATGAATGTTAAGCTTGTTTGTGTGTGGCAAAAAGCACATTAAGAGTCTAGAAAATTCGTACCTTTGCAAACAAATAGACCGCATAGCTATTCACCTTGGCCCGTTTTCGTGGGAACATCTTAACATTTGTTGCCGGCAGAGAATAAAATAGAAATTTCCAAGGTTTGTGTCTATTCAAGAGAATTTAATTTGTTACCGAAAATGCATATTGTTACGTTTTTTGTATATTTTAAAATTACATAAGATACGCCGTTTTGATGATGACTGAGAAAAGTAAATTAAATTGCAAAGTACAGTTTTGCACGGAGATGCTAAGTTCCACTTTAGTTTCAATAATGAAAGAGGTTCACGTAAGTCTGACTCCCTTTTATTTGTGCGCGGGAAATCTTCAAAAGATGCTTTGCCTTCTGGGGGAAAGATAGGGATACTTAAACCCCTCGGTGGCCTAAAATGCAACTGGTGAGAATCCCGGAATACCCATAGGAACGTACAGGGACTATCAGAAGGTCTGACTCATAGATAAAAGATTAAAAATTTACAGAAGCAACAACTGTAAAAACAGAATTTTCTCATTCATTAGCTGTCGCCCGCGACTCCGTCCGCGCAGAATTAAAAAAAAAACATAATTCGTTCCCGGCAATTATTTGAATTATTCGTACCTTCCTTCCTTTCCTTGACCTCCACGAACATTTCAAGACCAAGATAAGATAAATCCTTTGAGCTGCTGTTGACTTTTAGTGAGACTAACATACAGCAATTGATTTATATATATTATATGTTATCATAGCTAATACTTAGGTTACAAACACCAGTGGATGTTTGCAGTAAGATGTTATTTGCACAGTCCCAGTTTACACTTAAAAT